AGCTGCTAAAACGTTGTTCAAAAGACTGCTCTGGCATCAGATTCTTGTATCTCAGGTTAGTAGTAATGTGCTTGTTCTACATGCCCTCCTAAACAAAACAAAAAATGTGTTTAACAAAATTAATTCAAATTCCACATCATCTGACTTTTCAGCGTCTGCGTGTCATGTCTTGTCTTTCAAATCCTTTCATCCCCTCTGCACGTTAACACTTTCCCACAAACCTACCGCCGTTTTCAAAACTATTCAGAACCTGTTTCGCTCTCCACTCATCATTAGCCCTTCTTCCAATAAAACCTTCTTTCTCTCTCAAGGCAAGTCATGAACCTTCATCTACTCTGTACAGCTGGGATCTTCTCTTCATCTCTCTCTCTCTACTCGTCTACCAAGTATTCATCTAATGGCGATCGAACAATCGTCTCATTCTCCCACCATTGACACCGCTCCCACTTCATCATTATCCTTGAAATCATCCCCAGAGCGTCATCATTTCACACCCTCTACCACCTTACTAACTCCTGATTCCCCCTCCATACCTACGGTTTTTCCATTTCTGATAAACCCTGTTTACTATTATTTTAAGAATCCTATGTCCAGTCAATCCTACGATCTCATCAAAGATCACACAGGAGGTTTTACTCCTCAAGTGTCAGAAGCCCCTGAGGATGATCCTGACCAGTATCTGAACACCTCCATGCTGGACTCAGTGACTCTCAAGGAGTCACCAGAAAAGGAAGTAGCTCATAACATCATGGCTATAGCTGCTGACAGTCTGATGAATGAAGGAGCATATCTCTCGTCTAAGTACCAGGGGGAAGAAATTCCATTCCTAGGAGATGTAAGAACCACAGCACTCCTCGAGTCCCTGGCTCATGAGATATTCTCAAAAAAGCCTTCTGATGAACCTCATTCTCTTCTATGCAAACTCACTCCTGCACCTCGTGTTCACTCCAAGCTCTTAGAGTCTTCCTCCAAATTACTCGCTATCAGGTCACTACAGCAAGAGAGCTCTGAGTCCTCATTTCAGAAAAGTAAGAGGAGTGTCAAGACAAGGAAAAGGAGGAAAATGAATCCAAAGGATTTCATCAAGAGTGTGTCAGTAAACCAAATGACCAAGATGCTTCGAAGGAACCTGGTTCCTCAGTACAACAATCTATGACAATTCAACAGTCTATGAAAAAGGCCTTCGATGAAACTGTTGAGAAACAGCAAGGGTCATCTGTGAAGTACAGTAGCAAGTCTAAACGGAGTCTAACTGAGCTAGTCGTGTCTGAGGACAATACTAGGGGGATGACAAGCTGGAAAGGAAAGTCTGTCGAAGGGTCTAGCAAACAAAAAGGGAAAACTGTTAAGGTACCTGGTACAATAAGGTCTATGACCCGTGATGGTGGTCTTTGGCAGCAGAGATTAAGAATTCAGAAAGTGTTGTGGGGTCATACATTTGATCCAGCAATTTCTGAGATGACAGGCATGAGACAAATTCTGGAGATTGTGGAATTTATACAATGGGAACACTTGTTTGAAGAGAGAATGCCTCTGGTGTACGAAGATGCAGTACAAACTTTTTACGCATCTCTTTTCACTATTGAGTGGGATCACATTTGTGCGCTTGTAAATGGAGTAGACATTGTACTCGATGCTTCGATGTTGGGAAAGATTCTCAGAATTCCGTGTGAAGGTATGTTATCAGTTAAGGGTGTCTGTGGAGTAAACTTTCGGAGAGCCATCATGAAAGAACAAGGTATTCAACAGGGGGAACAGGTGCATAAGAAGGTTTTGCTTCCTGAGTACCAGCTTCTCTTTGAACTGGTCAATAAAGTGCTCTTACCCCGCTCTGAGAGGCGCTCTATATCTACAAGATCGGACATGGTCCTAATGGAAGCACTCGATGAGTTTATCCCGACCAATCTGCCTGCAATCATGATAGACCATATGCAGAAGGTGGCAAATTTTAAGGGTGGAAATCATGGGTTACCTTATGGATTTCTCCTCACTCAGGTGTTCAGATTCTATAAGGTCCCCTTGAGGAATCCCAGAGTGGGCACACGCAAGCAGACCTTCTCCAAGACTACTCTAGAAGAATGTGAATGTATTGAAAAGGTCAGTGGAAGCATCTCGACCATTTCTCAGCTGATCAACGCTCAAAATGTAGCCTCTGAGGAAATAAGAAGGCTGAGGGCTCGAAATGCCATACTGGAAACTCAGCTCAGTCAAGCAGTTAAAGAACCTAATTTCGTACATGAGGAGATTGCACGACTGACAAAGGAAAATGAGAGACTTCGGGCTCAATTACTTGAAGAACAACTGTCAGCAAATGCTAGACTGGACCTGGTTCTCAAAACCATTGCTGTCTCTTCCTCCAAGCCTCCTTCCTTTAGTATCCCCTAGATCCTCCTTGTGTCAAGCTATTTTTGCTCCAACCTCATGTGGCTGTTGTTTTACTTTTGTTTGCATGTTTTGTTGTGATGGCATGTTGTACTTAACCATTACTGCTCCTGAATTACTCAGTCCAATGTAAACATTAATGAAACAGCTTCCCTTTCGTTGCTGGTACAATCATGTGTTCCTCTGGCTTCTCTTTTCTGTCATGTTGTGAGCACATATGTGGCATGAGCTAGCTGTGTTAGACTTCTTTATGCTTATTAACTGCTTGTGCTATTCTTAATCCCTGTCCTTTTTAATGATGCCAAAGGGGGAAAAGAAGTGTGAAGTGTGAGAATGAGGGAGATCATAGATTAAGGGGGAACTTCGTGAAGTGTGAAGCGTGAGAATGAGGGAGATCTTAGATTAAGGGGGAACTTCGCGTAGTTCTGGCATCTCATCTGGTTATTTCTGCTCTAAAAATATAATGTCCATGCCTAAGTTTGTCATCATCAAAAAGGGGGAATTGATGGGTTTTCAATGTCTTAGCCTTATGCTTCTTATGTTTTGATGATCTAACAAACTTGTCATGAAGAACCAGATAGAGCACCTGGCGCACAGGATATACATTTCATGTGAACTGGTCGAAGCCTGAACATCAGCAAAGGGAGGAACACAAGCAACTGAGTGACTGACCGCAATCGTACAAAGAGGAACACTACAGGGACCTGGTCCCTTAGGGTTCTCTGACAAAAAGTACAAGTCAAGTACACAGCTGGAACGTGACAGAAGAAAGTGACCATCTGGCAACTGTCACAGAAGAGGAGCACAACTAGGACCTAGTCCGTTGGTGTGTCTTGACAGAAGTACAAAGTCCACTATCCAGCTGGAACGCAACTGCCCAGAAGTGGTAGTGCAGACAGTACAGCAGTCACTTCTCATTGGGAAGAAGCGTACACCAAGAGTTGACATCACTATCCATTGTGCTATCTTTTGTGATAAAACAACCTGGTGCAAGACACACCATTCTTCATGCATTCAGTGATATTCTCTCAAGAAACAAAAGTATTCATCCGGCATTGAAGTCACTGGTGTATCAAGAACAAGAAGACAACTCCACTAAGGATCAGTTTCTAAATGAGTTTATGTACATCCGTAGTTGAGTTGTAATCTTGTTATTTGTTTGTCATTGTAATTCCTAGTTTGCTTTCTTAGAAGCGTTGTCTTAGGAACAAACCAAATTCGTAAACTTCTGAGTTTATGTTGTGACTAGGGATAGTCATAAGTTTAAAGCCTTTGTAACTAGGATAGTTATAGAGTGGCTTATGGTGGTTGCATCACAAGTTAGTTTGAAGTCTTTGCAATAGGGTTTTTGCAAAGTGGCTTGTGGTGGTTGTATCACAAGTTAGTTTGAAGTCTTTGCAATAAGGTTTTTGCAAAGTGGCTTGTAATAGGTAGGTTACAAGTTAGTTGAGTTAAAAGCCTACAAGAGTAGGTCGTGGTTTTTTGATCCCCTTGTGTGGGATTTTTCCACATAAAAAATCTCCTGCCTTCTTTACCTTCAGTCTTTACTGCATGCTAGGCATCATCTCATAGAGGACCAGGTACTCTATAGTTTGGTGGACTCATATAAGTTAACAGGTTCCAATAGATTGGTGAAATTGATTTTAGATAAATTTAAGGATGTATTTAAAGATGGTCGTATACTTTGTGAAGTGATCAACAGAAATAGCATAAAATCGAAATCCATCAAAGGAGGGAATTGGTAAAGGTCCCCAAGCATCTGAGTACAAAAGTTCAAATGCCTTAGAACTTCTAAGCGAGTTATCACCAAATAGTAGGCAATGACTCTTATTACATAAACAGGAATTGCAAAAATTAAAGGATGTCTTTTTGAAACTAGTAATTTAAAAGAAGACACACAAGCTTTGGTTATTCGTGGTTGGGGATGACCAAGCCTGGTGTTCACAGATGCATTGTTGGGACAGATGAAGTGATAAAGTTGACTTGAGGAGGAGTGGATTCTAATGGCCATCTCGATCCATCCAATGGCCACTCATAGAGATCACCGTTGCTCCGACCTTGCAGCAGGCGTGCCCCCGTGGTTAAATCCTTAACACAAAAAGAGTAAGGAAAAAATTCAGTGGAAGTTAGATTTTGACGACAAAACTTGGCAACAGAGATTAATCTTCTCTTTTCGTTAGGGGGACAGAGAACATTGTGTAAAGTGAAATAATTTTGTGAAGTGGGTGAAGTAAGAGTAGTGCGACCAATATGAGTAATCGGTAGTCTATTACCATGATCAATAATGGTCTCATCATTGTCTGAGAATTCAGTTGTGGATTGCAGCGACTACGGATAGTCTGATATGTGATGTAAAGCCCTAGAATCAACTATCCACGAGTTGGCATAAGGCACTCTGTTGGTGAAGTTAGCTTGTTCCTCAAAAGCATTGTGAGTTGGAGCGGCACACCTTGGCTACATGTCCAAACTTATCACAAAGTTGCCACTAAACTTGTTGACGATTGTTGGAGTTTCTTGTAATTAAGTTGGTCCGCCGCCAATAGATGTTTCTATTGTTAGTCGAATGAGGTGGACCAACTTTGCGCTGATGATTGTTGGAGTTGCGATTCTTTAAATTGTTATTGCTGGAGTGTTGGTGAAATTGGGCATGCAGTGACAAGGGGTGCTTCATTCTTTGCTTCAGAGTGTTTAACAAAGACTTCAAGTGCAAGCAGCTTGTCAAACAATTCCTCAAAAGAGATGGGATTACCTCTGGCACATATTGCAGCAGCAATTTGCTTGAAGTCCGATCCGAGGCCACTTAGAACCTTGATTACCAACTCTTCAGTGGACAATGGTGAACCACTTGAAGCAAGATCATCAGAGATTGACTTGATTTCCTTCATGTAGTCACTGACAGGGCGTGACTCTTGTTTGAGGTTGGAAAGAATTTCGCATAGGCCAAAAATTATAGAATGAGATTGGTTGGCATATGTGGTTTGTAAGATCCCCCATGCCTGTTTAGCAGTTAAGGCGTGGGCTATTAGAAGTGCAATAGTTGAATCAAATGATGCCATTAGCGCATTGCGAATGAGAATGTCTTGTCTCTGCCACAATTTGTAGGCTGGTTTAAATATTCTCGCCCAGTGTCATCACGCAAGTGTTTGGGAGGGATAGCAAGAGATCCATCCACATAGTCAAGCAAGTCATATCCGAACAGCAATGTCGTAACCTGCACTCGCCAGGTTGAGTAGTTCGAACCGCGAACTAGTTGTAGGGACAATTGACAAGCGAGGTTAAAGGAGATGAGTTTTGTTGGTTGGACTGTACTGCCATGTCCAAAGATAATGGTTGGCGAGGAGTATGAGTTCTTGGGTGAGGTAGTGGATGAAGACTTTACATGAGAGAGTTCTCCCATTGATGCTGCTGGGATTGGGGATCGATAGAGCTCGTTTAAGCTAAAAATGCTCTGATACCATGTAAAGGCAAGGCTAAGTGTTCAAAGAAGCTTGATTGTGTTATTGATATCATTGGTAATATATATACAGGAGGTGTTACAGTTGGATTAGGAGTGTAGTACATCAAAGAAATTTACGTGAATTGCACAACTATGCAATCGTGATTTGTGCAACTATCTTATATTAGAAGGTTTGTTCTTATCCTTATCACTTCAGTTGTAACTAGTGACACCACCAGAAAATGCCAAATATCTTACCACCTAAATGGTCGCAAATCGTTCGAAAAATTGACTTTTCCAATGGATTTTCAACCGATAAAGAACGGTAAAAGATACATGGTCGCAAAGAATCGGTTGGTACTTTCTGACATAATAAACTGGAGCGAATATGTTTTTTCAACTTTTCGAGTCATTTGTAATAACATATAATTAAACCAATTAACTGTAACTTATATTTTTAGACAAAATCGATTGCAATATTAAAAAAAATAACTGAAATTCATAATTCCGACTGTTTTGGTCGAAACATTAAGAAAAAATCAAAACTCATTATTTCCGACTCAAATCGGTTAAAATCTTGGAATTTCCAGGTCATATTTTCGATTCGATCGAAAATTGGTTGGAATTCTGGGCAAATTTGAGTAGAATTCTGTTGTATTTTTAGCTACACCGCCTACCAAATATAACCATCAACCAAACAAACCTAATTTACAATTGCTCACGCATTATAAAACCTTCAACAAATCCAAACACTTCAAAAGAGTATTTCTGTGATTTTTAGCTACACCGCCTATAAAATAAAACAATCATGCATGTTCATAATAATCGTAAGAACTTCAAAAGAGTATTTTTTTGTATTATAAGTACTAAAACATATGGACGAGAATCGTTGAACCACCATATACATAACAAACTTCTTTTTTAACATTAGTGATACAAATTCAGAAATACTTAGCAATACCATGTTGAAGAAAAGAGATTATGACATCAGATAATGAGGTTGCGGCAGTTATTGTGAACCAATGCTAGCACCTTACTTTTGGTACAAAAGCTTCTTGTTCTGGGTCCATGTCTTTGCTGTATTCTCTTTGGACGGATGGATCACCCTCTATCTCAACATACTCTTTAGGTTCTGAAGCAGTGCTGTTGCAACACAAGCTAAATTTTATATGGCGATTGTAGTTTACATTATGTTACAACTTTAAGAAATTTCTATTATTCGTTGGTTTCAAATTCCTACAGTTAAGGTACTAGACGTAAGTATTTTCTCCAACAATTTTTAGTTGGTTTCAAACTCGTAAATTTTAGGCACTAAATTGCAGATTTTTTCCAACATTCCGTTTTCTTTTTGGAGTTAGTTTCGAACTCCTACATTTCAGGCACTAAATGTTATAATATTACCCAACGTTCTATTTTTCTTTCAAAGAAATAAATCAATTTTGAAGGTTATAAAAGTCATCGAGGATATTTTTGTCGTTCAACATTTAGTGTAAAATATTCGTGCCTTTATAATAATAATAAATAAATAATAATAATTAATGACAACTCATTAAGAATATAGTTTGTATTATATCGTTTTATCCTTATTGTTTCAAGTTTGCATTTTCACCCATTTAACTCTTAATATTATTATAACCAATTTTGTCATATTCCAATGCTCTTCTTATCCAAATAAATTTATGTATCCTAATAGATTTTTACCCCGTAAATAATTTTACTTAAATGATGAATGTGGAAAATAATTAAATTGGTTCTTGCTAATTAGTTAATTTAAAAAGTTAACTATTTGGTCTCAATAGTAAAGGAAATAGTTTTTTTTTGTTGATCAAATTCTTCATATTAGCTCATTTGTAATTTTAAATAATTAATTGTAATTCATCTAAAAAGAATTATATTATAAAAGAGTAAAAAAATTAATTTGATATTTCACTCTTTAATTGATTTTTACTTATTTTCTAAATCTCGCATGACTTGTCCTTTTTAATTGGTTTAGAATTCTAGTTTCCTTTTTAAAATATACTTTTTTTATACATTAAATATCCATAACATAACTTGTCTTGATTATATAATAACACGGATATTAATTACCACATTACATAATACGACATGAAAAGGAAGACATAATCCTACTAAATTTAGAAGTGTATAAGCGGGGTAATGTAATACAATGCTACAAAAGAAGAATAAAAGGATATCCTAATCCGACTAGTTATAAACCTATTCTATCTCGGTTTTGGACATATTAAAGAGGTATGAAGATGACGTGTCGTGACATATAGACTGGTTAAAGAATTACAACTGGCAAGAAGGCATGAGTTGCAATAGATACGAGCAGAAAGCAAAAGAAGAGGCACGAGCGGAGGCAACGCTCATACCTGTTCAAGTCATTTAAGCCCAAGAATCAAAGAGAATGAATCTGACAGCACACGAGAGTCCAGATACAGTATTTGATGAGCATTAAATATCAAAAACGTTAGAGAATCTGTATTAAATATAATGATTATGTAACGTAGCATTTAATGTCTTTAATGTCTTTAATTGCCCATAATAGCCTTGTTATGACGGAGGCAAAACACATATCTCCAAGGTACCTATAAAAGGGAGATAACTGATCAATTGTAAGGACACGAAACACTATCTGAATATACTTTGGTTTACTTGTTTCTCTCTTGATTATATTATTGCTATCCAAATTGCTTTCTTTTATACATTCTTTCGATTATCACTAACCCGCGTTCTTCTAAATTATAAGCTTTAATCGAACTTCTATTTTTTGGTTAAACAAATTGGTTCCGTTACCGGAAATCTGATAATCTATTTTTTCTCAACCTTGTCTATTTCGTTACATCAACGATCATGTCAAATGTTAACGATAACACCCTGGGAAACCAAGGAAACCGTAACTCCAAGGGGACCCATAAGATGTTCACACTCCGATTCCTTCTCCACAAAGCTCGCCTCGGCGGTCTCGAGAAGGAACACCTGATGGATCTCATTCAAATGCAAATACTCAATTTAACAACGATGAAGCTATCAATGAAGCCTTGCAGAAGTTGATCGCTCAACAGGTCAATAAAGCTCTTGAAGCTTTTGCCAGCCAATTACCTGCTGCACCATCAACGCCAGTTCTAAATACCAACACTTTGGAAAACCCTCGTTCTAGGCTTGTTAATTCTGGCAGTGGTGGAATCCCCAGTGAATCACGAGAGGGAGAACCAGGTAACATAGTTAATTCCGATTTACAAAGTTTAGTTCTAACATTGCAGAAACAGCTTAAGGAGCAAAGTGACCGCATAGAGCAAATACCTGGGGTGCCCCCCGTGATCAAAGGGATAGATGTGGATAAATATTCGCAGCAACCCTGGAAGCCAAGTACTGCTCCCCTCTCAATTCCAAAGAAATTTAAAATGCCCGATATTCCAAAATATGATGGAACAACTGATCCACGAGACCACGTGACTGCATTCACAACAAACGTCAAAGGCAATGACTTGACCAAACAGGAGATTGAATCTATATTGGTCAAGAAATTTGGTGAAACACTCACTAAGGGTGCATTAACATGGTATTCTCTTTTACCCGAAAATTCTATAAATTCTTTTGCTGAGCTTGCAGATTCTTTGTCAAAGCACACTCGGGAGCTCAAAAAGTTGAAAAAAGAATGGAGGATATTTTCAAAATCAAGCAAGGGGATTCAGAATTGCTCAGAGAGTTTGTAGACAGATTCCAACAGGAAAGAATGACGTTACCACGCGTACTTGACAATTGAGCAGCTATAGCATTCACAAGTAATTTGAATGAAAAAAGCTCAGAAGCTACGAGGCGACTCAAGGAGAGTCTTCGTGAATTCCCAGTAACGACATGGAATGACGTTTATAACAGGTATAGCACAAAGCTGAGGATTGAAGAAGATACTATTTCACTATATCAAAAAGAAGAAAAGGTAAGTTCGAGACGGGCAGAAACCGAAAAAAGGTCCGGTAAAGACAGGTACGAGCCATACATGGGACCTGCGGGAAAAGACTCACGGTCAAAGCAGGATAATCAGAGGTACGATCACAGATCGAGGAATAGAGAGTCGGGCTCATCTTCAAGATTTGGGAATGATCGAAGCACACGTGAGTCACGAGATGATGATAGAAACTTAAAGGCGAGGTTTGGTTGTTATAATTTCAATGTGAGCACTTCCGAACTCGTGGCTGTCTTGAGAAGCATGGGAGACAAGGTGCGATGGCCAATGGAGATGAGATCGAATCCAAACAGGCGAAACCCTGATCATTGGTGCGAATTTCATAATGATCATGGGCATAAAACGGCAGACTGTAGGTTCTTGCAAAGTGAAGTTGATCATTTATTAAAGCAGGGGTATCTCACCGAGTTGTTCAGTGAGAAAGGTAAACAAGCATACATGAAGAATATGTAGGAGCCCCCCAAACCACCTTCACCCAAAAGAACCGTCAATGTTATCAGCGGAGGAGAAGAAATCAATGGTGTGACGTATACCGCAGCTAATAAGATTTCCAAAGTAACGATTACCCACGGGAAGCAGTTACGGCATGTTTTAGAAGAAGAAAATATTACATTCGATGATACGGATGCGGATGGCTTATTAACTCCACA